TATATATATATCCTGAAAGCAGAGACCCTGTAAAATAGAATGGTGGCAGTTGCAATTTTACATTTATTAAGTTTAGTGCACATAAACCCATCTGTTTGGTAAAATATAAAAAAGGAGGTTGCACTGAGTAAATCGATACCAAACATGTCAAGTTCCCAATTGTGTGTGCCTGTGAAAAACCTAAATTGGCTATAAGAGATGCTTTGAAAGTTTTAACAGGTCATCAGTTTAGTTGAATAATGGCCCTACAATTATTGCTATCACTCCGGCATGCACAGCGCTACCCAACATGTGTGCCACAATCGTCATTCTATTACATAGGCACATATTTGCGATAGTATGTGTTTGTACATGGGGCAGGGGACTTTAACATTTTTGTGGGGTGTTTTTACATTTATTTTATTTAACTCTATTTTTTAAAACGTTTTTTTTTTACTTAACTTTATTGCTATCACATAGGGGGATCACAAGCCCCCTATGTGAAAGCACTTAAGTGGTGAAAAGTCCTCTTTAAGGAGATATTAGGGGTCTTAGACCCCTAATGTCACCTGTGCAGCCCATTGAAGCTGATCAAGCACAGACGGTGTAGAGCCTTGGACGCAGACACAATACATCGGGGTCGGTACACATTCTGTGTGCGGTTGTCAAAACTCGGAGCTGTGAAAAGCAGCGTGTGAGAGTGCACAGCTCCTATGTCTACATAGAGTTAAATTAGCTGCCCACATGCATCTTCCCGCAGCTCCAGGAGTATCAACAACACCTTCACACTGTATGGAGCAACATGCCTGCGTGAACGAGGCCCAAGTGGAAGTAAAACTGTAGAAGTGAAATATTAGGTCCCGACCCTTCTAGACAGGGTTGTGCTGTGGAGGCAGAGCTGTGTAAATCTCAGAAAGAGATGTAGATGAAACAACTCTCATATATGCATCTGTGCATTTAGCCATTTGCCTGGAGTTCAGTATTTGGTAAACCTCCCCATGTTGCTTGACATGTTCTTTGTATTTTTGTTATTTTTTGTGTGTATTTTATTATCATATTTATATTATAGAAATGAAAAAGAGAATGAAAACCCTGAAATAAACTTGTATGACCTTTTAAATGTATTATTTTACTTATTTCACTGCCTTTTTTTCCAGTTAAAAAAATCAGAAAACAATACAATACACAAACATTAGGAGAAGGAAGAGAAAAATAGCTGCAAAGTTGGAAAATATATACAAATTTATAAATTTTCGAATACATATAATGCAACCCTAAAAACATTAAAATATAAATAGATGACATAAATGAAAATCTGCTAGGTCTTTATTGCTGTCTGTGAATCCACTGCGGCAGTTTCACTTTCTTTTCACCCCCGGCCACTTTCTCAGGACAGGAAAAATTATCTCTAATGGAGGCATTGATAACAATTAAAACCAGGTAGAAATCCTAGCCCTTTCCTACTCTATCCAAGTCCAAAGAAAAAAAATTGACAAGAGTCAAGCTTCCACTATTAGGGGGTCAGTAGGGGATTGGTCAAATTTTTGGGTATAGTATAAAATCCCTTTTAAAGGCTCATTCAATGGTGTAATCAAATAGTGTATTATATTTATTGAGCACCAGCCAGGACCGCAATGCTTTCTTCAGGGGGGGTGGTCAGGGGAAGCATTAGGAAGTGCAACACCTACAGTGAAATAATTGTAGTCACAACTTTATTAAATTAATATAAGTGAGTACTGATCCAGGAGGTAATTGCAGACATTTCATAATATGGTCCAGGCACTCTGTTGTGATTCTCATCTGTTAGGGGTCTACCTACCACAGCTTCAGCTAGCTTACACTATGTCTCAATGTAGTCTACCTGATAAACCTGCCCACTCCAACAAAGTAATGAAAACATTATCTTGCAGTGCATCAGCTTTACCTTATCTTGGAGCTCTCTCAAGAGAAAGGACACTGGCTGACCATGAAGATTTCCTGATGAGGTAGTCAGTGGGGTGTTGATGTCAGCATGCGCATCGACCCAAATTACGCATAGATCTGAACACTGTCGGGCATGACCACTAATAGTGCCAAGTGCCAAACTGAAACGCAATATTAGCACAGATTAATATATGTTTAGAGCAATACGAGATTTGTAACTAATTCTAACTAAATTCTAATAGAGGACCTGATATCAACACTGTACTATAACACGTTCCCTTAAAATACTGGCAGTTCAGTTTTCCTGATGGGCTTGTTTGGTATCTAAGGTAAATGCAGTCTCAAAAATGTGTAAGAAATGTGGCATTGTGATGAGCATCAATGAATTTGAGCTGAAGAAGACTTGGGAAGCTTCAGCAGATTACACTACCCTAGAGTTCCATAAGCTTCTGTCTTGGGCTATCATTATCAATTTTTATTCCAACATGGATTCTGTTAAAGTAAAAAGGGAGTTTAAAGAGAAGTATAGAGTGCCCCAGAATAAAAGAAAGCTGTAGTATTGTCTCAAATAATTGCTAGTCTTTCCAATTTGTTTACTGAAGGGAAAGTTGTCAAAATGAGTAATTCAGTTTGAATAATTTACTCAGTCTGTTGGTGAATCTACAGAAGTAACAGGCCAGGCACAATTGTCAATATTCATTAATTGGTTGCCGCAAACTTTAACATCCATGAAGAGGTGCTAGAGCTGCATTTAATACCTGGAACAACCACAAGTGTAGATGTTTATGCAAAGTTGGAACAAATCCTTGCTCATTACAATATGCATTTGGAAAAACCTGTATACTTGAAAACAGGTGGGGCTCCATGGATGGTGGGACAAAGAAATGGTGTTGTGCTAAGCAGCTTACCAAGATACATGAAATTCTGCCTAATTTTATCTTTGTACATTAAACAATGTATTATTTAAAAACAAGCTTAAAGATTAAAAAGAAAAACTGACCACATTCCAAAGCTGGAAATACAGTAGTTAATTTTGATTTGCACGCAAGCATTAAACCTCTACTAGTTTTGTGCATTCCATTTAAAAGTATTTCATATTAACATTTTATTTATTCATTATTTAATTTATTCATAGGCAGCTATGACTAAGGTCGAGTAAGGCAGAAACGCATCAGCAGTTGTTTTTTGTACAGATGCATGTGGAATAAAATTGGATTTCCTTCTGAAAAGAACATTGTGTCTTTTGCAGTTTGTGGTACATTCATATTAGTCCCTGCCCTCAAGGAGCTTACAGTCTAAGGTCCCTATCTGACTTTTAAACATGCTAGGAGCAATTTAGACATGAACCAATTACCATCAATTACCAGCATGCCTTTAGAATGTTGAAAGAAACCCACATAAGCACAAGAAGAACATGCAATCTTCATGCAGATAGTGCCCTGGCTGAAATTTGAACCAATGTCCCCAATGCTGCAAGGCCGATGAGCTAACCACTAAGCTACTGTAACAACTCCTACACTTTACAGGAGTTTCATGTAATAAAGACTGTTCTCTGTCCTGGTGTAGGATGACTGATTTTGCATTCCTTCACCCTGTAGTTTACTGCAGGCAGCTTGTAGTGGGAGGCCCTGTTGGGTCCCACCCCTAGCTTTGCATAGGCTATATGCCGCATAGGGATGCTGTATTTGATGCTGTATTTAATGTACATGAGATGCATTTATATATTTTGTTGCTATTGCAGAATATATATATTTTAAAAAAAACGTTTTTGAGACAGGAGCTTATTTTTACTTATCTTCGATTATCTATAAATGCCAGGTATTCATGCTTGTAAAAATAGTAAACAGACCTACCTATGATCTCCTCCCAAAGTTACACAAGTATGACCAGCTTCTAATACTCTTCTAACTTCATTTGCCAACATTTGACATGCAAGGCCAACTGTACGGGGGTATTTAACAGTGTTGTTGTACAGTTTATCATTAGGAACTTGCGCAACGTGTAGATCTCCAACATCGTATACATCACATCCTGTAAAGCAAAATAATTTACAAATGTTAGAGCAATAACAACTATACAAATAACTACTTGTACCTTTTTACTCATGTCTAGCACAGCAGAGATAGATCTCATACTGACGACAGAATCTTTTGGAAAAGATGGGTAACTTTTTATCCTACCTGTAGGTCAGAGAAAAGAGTGAGGCCTAGGATTATCTTATCCAGGATAATTAAGATGATACAGGTGGCTAATGCTTTAGCAGGCCTTTCTTAACATCTTATGCCAAAGGTTAAAGGTTTGTGGAGGTTTGAAACACAGCAAGCTGGAGATTAGCTAATACTTTCATTAACCATTATCACCTTGACGTCTCATGGACCTTTTGAGTTCCTTTGGTTTGGTTGTGCTTTCTGATGCTTTGTCTCAAATCTTTAAATTATGGTAAAATTTGCATGACAATAGTACATTTGGTAAACTGAAACAATTTCATAAATATGTATAAGAAAAACAAAACAACAACAAAAAAATATCTCACATGTTCATTGTTGCACGTCTTACCTATGCTGGAGAGCCTTTCAATAAGTCTGGCATTTCTGATTGCAGCTGGTCCATGCTCTACACCTCGCCATTTCTGAAATACATTTTGATGACATTAAAACACATACAAACCAGCAAACTTAGATGTGTTTAGGGATGTTCAAACATATTTCTCACAGAGAAGCATTTAATTCAGCATTTGTAATTTTTAATAAAACATGCTACACTAGGTATTTCCTCTCTTTGTAAATCTTTTGTCACTGTGGAAGCAACCTTGCCATGATTCCATTAGTTCGGGAGGCTAATTTAGATGTGTATTTAGACACACAGAGGTGTCAGTCTGAGCACCTGTAAAGGGAGCAAGAGCCAGAACAGTCTAGAACAGTCACACAGGAGTGGTTGCAAAAGCTGCTGCCATTAATTAATAAGGATAGTGATGTAAAGACTGATTCATATATTATTTTACATTCTGCATATGAGATTTAATTTTTTTTTAACTGGCACAATCAACAATTTTGAAAAAAAAAATTAAACATGGTGTTGTGCATAATAAATGCCACCCTTCCAAAGAAACATAATAATATTACTGGATTGATATGTCCTCTCTTGAAAAGCTATGGCCACAACCAAATTATCTGCATGCTGCGGTTATATCCACAGGTTAGGGTAAGGACACAGTAGTGATGTAGTGTCCAGGAGCTGGAACAACAGCATTTCGGGGGGGACCAGACATCTGATACACCCAGAACTGTGTCAGATGGTAAAGATTCTGTGGTGGCCATAGAGAGGCGGAAAAGAGTAAAGGTAGGTGTCACTGCACATTAGACATCTAAGTATAATTACAGTGACACTAAACTCAGAAGTTAAATCTTAAAAATGCATTTATGTATGTTAATTATTAGCATAAATGTAGTTTGTGTATCACTCGGCTGTAGATCCTCAAATCATCTCAAAATTTACGCTGACATTGTCCTTCCTTCTGGAGGGTTGCTACTTTTGTTCCCCATGGTCCCTGTGTGTGTTGTAAAGTAGCCACCGCTCCAAGCTTACTACTGTGATGGACTACAATCTCAATACGAATAAATAAATGAAATGTGAGATTGTAGTCCATCACAGAAGTGAGCTTGGAGCGGTGGCTACTTTACAACACACACACTCAGGGACCATGGGGAATGAAAGTAGCCACCCCCCAGAAGGCAGGGCAGTGTCAGCATGAATTCAGAGATGATTTGAGCATCATCTTGTCACTTGATGCATTTTATCCTATATAGGACTTCTTCGGAGGGGCATGACATTTCAGATTGAGTCACCTAGGTCATAGTCTGCAGCATCTGTAGTAACAATAATTGGTAGAGAAGAATCAAATAATGTTAGTGCTGAACTGCTGACTGTGACGAATGGCAGATCAGATCCCACTGAGCTGCCAACAATATGTGACGATACCACTCTCAACCTTACCCTGCAAAGTGATTCTCCAGCTCACAGGAACAACAATCTAAGGCCAGCAAACTAGAGTGATCATCACTGGGGTTGGTTAATCCTCGCAGTTAACGCTTTTCGCACACAAATAATAGCTTTGTTTTAATGGGAACACCCAACATTCTCAGCAAATGCGGTGACAATTGTAACCTTACACAATGCATGTGATTCTTGCTATACCTCCAGACAGCAATATGACAAGTTTTACAATACTGCAGTGCACTTCACATAGACAAGGATTCTTTAAATTCTTGTTTAGAGCATAGAGGTAAGCTTAAAAGAGAACTATGGGCTAATGTTTTTATCCCATAGTTCCTTTAGGGTCAAGGGAGGACATATACTAACGTCCTCCTGTGACTCAAAGCTCAGTGTATAGCAGGTAATTGCTCGCTATGTACTGAGAATGCCGCAGCCGGGACGGATCCCGCCAACACTGTCGAGATCCACCCAGCTGGCTGATTGATAGCAGGCTCTACCTATCTGGAGGCCGAGCCAGCTGTGCCCGCCCCTTCCCCTGTCTGTTCCTCCAGTGAGCACTGGAGAATCAGAGAGGGGGGGAATCCCTGCGGGGAGTCACCGCTCTCTGCAGGGAGATGATCGGCAAGTGAGTGAGTGATGGTATGTGTTCACTCACTTCCCGATCAATAGAGCCAAAGTGTGAACGTTTCAAAGGGGTGTGAGACAGGAGGGCTGAAGTGCTTCATAATTTCTTACCTGGTCCCATAATGTCAGTTTCCTAAATGCAGACTTATTTTTAGTCACCCACATGCTATAAACTATATATTATAGTAATATAATAATAGCCTTTTTTTAGAAACTAGTTTTGGTGGCAGGGGTGCAGGTCTTGTTTAACTATTTGAATTGCATGTCCAGTTATTTGATAGTCCAGACTATCTTATGTGTATTCGACTGGGATCTGTCAAGTGTTCTATCCATCACTGATTTACGATCCCTCATTAATAGGTTGAGAGTGAGACCATAAAGCAAAAACCAGCTGTAATATAGGCCTGGTAAGCAGATCCTAGGGTGCTCTGGCCATTTGGTGGAATTTGAAAAATGTTTGAACACTCTAACACAAACAGATATGTTTAATGGGTAGCCTGATTTAATCGTCTCTAGAAGTGTAAATTTCAACAAACTGAGGGGATGACAGGGTTTCCTAATTAGTTTTGGGGTGTCCAGACTTCATTACTATCACACTTATGATGAGGTACACCAAGGCATAGAATTAAAGGACCTCTCCTCCACAGCTTTAGCAGGGAAAAGACGGCTAGATGGTCTGAGGTCTGCCCCCTCTGGCATGTTTCACCCAATCCCAACCCAATCATACCTTAGTTATAGAGGTCATGATGAGCTGCTTAACTATTTCAGAGCTTTGAAGGGTGGTCTCTGACCAGATATGCTTGCATTTTCAATGATGCATGCTCTCACAACTGAGGCATAAATTGAAAAAAATTAGGAATACTATAAAGTACAACCTAAGAAAGCATGTAAGGTCTGAAAGTCAGATGGAGCAGAATATTATATTACATTTAGGAGGTACTTCTTGTGAAGATCCAGAGTTGGACCATATACAATTATGTCATCCTAGTAACACTGTGCACAAGGGCATCCTAGTGAGGATTGAAAACATCAGTCTTGAAAATGAAACAGACCCTCAAGGCTAATAATACAGGCCAATAATACAGATAGGACCCTACTTTGCTCACCCATCAATATAGTATGATATGATATGCACTTTTAGGATACAGGATATAAAAGAATTTAGCTAATCTGAGTTCTGAAAATACTTACTCAATTTGTGGCAAGAGGTGATTATCAATACTAACAACTTTTTGGGGGGTTATGAATGTCAACCACAATGTAACACCTCTTGTTTAATTCATTGTCACCACAATAGGAGATGTCCATTCAGATGTACCAATTTTTTTCAAGCATATCTTGTTCCAGTAGTTTCTTAGGTTCTTAAAGTGCCAATACACCTTACGATTATCGGACGATTTTCGTATGTGATCGACTTTTCGTCCGATAATTGTATGTGTGCATTGCAGTGTCCGACCGACATTACTGTACAATCGTACGACTTTTGACGGTCAAGCATGCTTGAAAACTTTGCTAGATCGTATGATTTTCGTAAGGTTGCTGGCGTTTCCATCTGTCAAAAGTCGTACGATCTACACTGCGCTGGCGCTAACGAAAATACGGCAAATCAATTACCGCATTTCGTCCAGGTGCTTTTCGTTAATTACGGCTAAATTAATCTTGCGATCATCGGGGCAGGATGGGGCTGTCGTACGAAAATCGTACGACTATTCGATCATCGGACGAAAAGTTTCGTCCAATTATCGTAAGGTGTATGGGCACCTTTAGGAAACAGTTTCTCTTACAAAGAAGGGTGTCTCAATTTCTGACACACTGGTTTCACATCCCACTTTAATTTTGTTCTTTGCACTGCCCATTGAGTTGCCACTGAGTGGTGAAACTTTAGACACTGACAACATAAGGGCAGCTGGTGCTGTTGTGAGGACACCATCCAGTAATTGTAGATTTAGTACAGTAAAATAATCGCTGCCCAGTATAGCGGTGCTTTTCTTTACAATGTAGAACTCAGCATGCACATTCATTATTTAGTTAAAATGTTACAGTCACTGGCAGGTAACCAAGCACAGGAATGGGGTTTCTCAGATAATTAAAGATATTTAACCAGTTGGAGAGTAGGTGCAGCGAGTGGCTCATTTGCAAAGTATGTCTGGTAGATTTCCTCTGGTGGTAAAGAGACAGCATATCCTGTATCAAGCATCAGGTTAATGGAGTGGCCATTGTTAGCAGAAGCAGTAGTAATAGTTACAGTGCACAAACGTTTATCTGGAATGTACACATCATATTTATCTACACTTAAGACAATAACATCTGGGGCAGTAAATTCATGAACCTGCCTAGCAGTAGAAGGGAAGATTTTTGCAGTCTCCCATTTGTTTTGTATTTACAGCACCGTGTGTCTTTTGCAGTGCAGGCAGCATAGTTTGCGATGTGCGGTGTTAAAAGAAAACCATGGGCGAAGCTTTGTTTGGCTTCACATCTCATTAGGTTTACTGTACTCCTGTGAACCAAAGTCAGCACATAGCGGGCTATTGCCCTCTATATGCTGACAGTGCCGGGCCACGCTGCAGCCGGGAAAATTGTCGGGATCCACCTGATTGTACAGCTGGCTCTGCCTCTATAGAACCAGAGCCAACTGTGCTCGCCCCCTCCCCTGTCTGTCCCTCCAATGAGTGATTGAGGAACAGAGAGAGGGGAGAGGGGGTCCCTGCAGGGAGCAGTGACTAAAAGTCACCACTATGCAGGGAGAAGCCGTGAGCTGAGCAATCAGCAGTTTGTGATTGCTCAGTTCTTGAGCTACAGCTGCAGTGTCACATGCTGGCTCTAACTATTGGAAAGAATACATTTTACTATCCCAATAGTTCTATAAGCCACACCTAAAGCAGTACTTGTTCTGTAGCACATCATTGTGGTTTAGATTAATCTGTTGTTGTTCCTTTGTACTGGACATGAGTATGTGCTATATAAGGCAGATTCTTATTTTACAGCCTGCATGGTGTCAGTAGTCCCCTGACT